GGGGGAGGTAGACAGCACCGATAGGTCACCGAGATAGAATCCGATAGGTCACCGATATGGTAGTCCAAAATGTCATCCAACAAGATCAAAATGTCGAGGACAATCCGTCACCAATGTCGGAGATACAGAGTTCAAATGTAACCGGCGTCCGAATTGTGATGCCGCCAAGTATCAACCCCAACAATCTCCAAGTCTCCAATCCGGTAAGTACCACAGTCTCATACCACCGAAGTCCAACACTGATCTCTGTCCAACTAGTATAAGTCTCCAATCTGAAGAAGAAGAAGAAGAAGAAGAAGAAGAAGAAGAAGGAGCCGAGGAGGAGAGAGAGAGAGAGGGGACTGGCGATGGGAGGGAGGAGAGAAGCCTCCAACTCCCAATACCTCAGCCGGCTATGGCCGCCGGTAACCCAGTCGCCGCTGCTGCTGCTCCGCTCGCTGCTGCTGCGCTAATCTGCGCTGCGCTGTTCCTCGCTGCTCCTGCGCTAATCTTAGCGCCAGCGCTGTATCGCGCTGTACCATACCGTACCGGTAGAATGCCGGTAGGTCGATGCCTCGAAGTGAGGCCGGACCAGTACTAAGTACTGGTTTGAAGAGGACCGGCCTCACTGCTGCGAAGCCTTGGTTGGGGCTGAACCGTCCAGATCGACGATTCAGGTCCAACCGGAGAGAGGCAGCCTCAAATGGCGCCGCCAGGCCCAAAACGACGTGTCGTTTGGGCCTGGTCCGTAATCGGGTCCAAGTCGTGGCCTTTCGGCCTGTTATCCCCCAAGGTCGGGCCTTTAGGCCCTAATGTGTCCCTCTAACCCTGAGTCGGGTCCGGTAGGACCCGTGTGGCGTCGAAGATGTAACACCAAGTCTACGACCTTCCGGAAGGTCCCAGTAGTGGCCTTTCGAAGTTGCCCATGTTTAAGCAGAGGCAAGTGGTCAAGTGGTGAGGCAAGTGGGCAAGTGGTAGAAGTCTACCCTGCTGAGTCAACAGTCCCAGTTCCCAGTGAGTCCAGCAAGTACCGCACGGGACTGTGTGCACTTTGGGCAAGGGAAATGGGCCAGACCAATGACCTGCAGAAGTATAAATCAAGAGGCAGCGCCCAGCCATTCATTCATTCCTGCGGGAGCCATGCGGAAGCGCTGCCACAGCGACTTGTGCAAGGAGGTCTGCAGTGAGCCCGGAGGACGCAGTGGGCGAGAGAGAAGGAGTTAGCATAGCGATAGGTTAGAGGCAGCCATAGCTGCCATAGCTGTAGTTAGTAGGAAGTGTGTGTGTGTGTGTGTTCGAGTGTTCAGAGTGACGTGTGTGGGATATCCAGGGTGGTCCAGTGTGTGTGAACAGTGAGTTGATTGGGCGCTGAGTCGCCACAGCCAGTGAAAGTGAACTCTTATCTGGAAGCCATATCTCTGAGGATCGAGTGGGCACTTGTTGCCAGTTTGCTGCGTTGCTGTTTACATACATGAAAAGTGTGAATAAGACGAGTCTGATTGCAGTAAAGAGTATGACTGTGCCAAACTCTCTCGGTGGACTTTCGCAGGCTCATGTGTGATCAGGAGGTTGAACCCCGACAGTCTGCCCGGGGTGCATTTGACTGGATATTGGATAAGGAACGACTCACCACGTCACCCAAAATTACCCGATACCCACCCTAGAGAGAGTGAAACGTGGTCGACTGTACTCCCACCAACAAACAAACCAACCCTGCAATCCTAGCAGACTGTCGGTCCAATCCCCTTAGAAGAACGGCAGTAAGTCTGAGAAAATACCTTCTTCCCCCGAATACAATGTACGGTCATTATATCTGTATTTGTGGGGTATCTTTTAGTCTAAATACATACAGCTATAATGACCATGCGTTGTATTTGGGGGAAGAAGTTAGGCCGTCACAGCCATAAGACCCACTGTACACACCCACTGAGCCATGAACCGACTTTTGTCTGTGTTTGCCCGGTTGGTTCCTGATTATTTCTTTGATTGGTCCTGTGATTGTTCCTTGGATACAGAGACACAGTACAAGTTCACGGCGATGTTGAGAATCATGATGATATGGTTTGATGAAACAGGTAAGGAGGAGGACCTTACGGAAAATCTTGTTGTTGTTCATGTTGATGTTGTCGTTGTTGTTGTGGTTCTTCTTCTTCTTCTTCTTCTTCTTCTTCTTCTTCTTCCTTTTTTCTTTTGAAGACATCAATAGGTAAAGACCAGGATCTTAGAATGACCATTGTGACGTGCTTTCCCGGTTACGAGCAATGAACTTTTGTTTACTCTTTAAACCACCAGTACAAAGCCCCAGGCAACTTCGAAAAACTCCTGGGTCACTCGTTAAAAAATTCGGAGGCTCGGGGCTGCTGGACCACAATGCCTTGTGGCGCCAGCCAAGAAAGAAAAGAAGTGCATTTTGGGTGTTTCCACAAAGCTTGGCGTGAGGTGCTAGTCTGCCACGGTCGGGTGTGCCTACCAGTGGTTCGGAAGCAGTTGTTTTGGTGTGTTGCAGTTCCTTTTGCTTGGGTGTACAAGAAAGAGCATCGCGCCTATATCTCCCTCCCCTCCTCCTTAATCCCTTCTCTTCCTTCATCTTGCCCTACCTCTCTTCTTCTGCCCTTCATCCCCTCAACCACTTGTGTGCATCGGTCTTATCCTTCCTTCTGCACCTTTCATCCGCTTCTCCCCCCCCCTTAAACAGGTCCTTATGGCCCTGGCTCCATGTCCATTCTGGGGAGTGTCACTTCAGTTCCTATCCCCCAAACAAGTCAAAATAGTAAGAACACATCATTTACACACTCACGCTTCCTTCCATTCGGCCGAAGGATCCGTGACCAGAATTGGTTGCTCCATGTTACAGAAGGATTGACTGTCTTCTTGCCTTACTTATGTATTCTTCTCAGGCTCCGTATGTGAACCTTTGAGCTCTATCTCTTCTCATCAAGAATCACAAAAAGGCATCCTCCAAGTAGTCTGAGTATGGGGCCTGAAGCGAGGAATGTGGGACTGTAATGATGTTTCCCCCTCCAAAAGAAGGGAGGTACTGGTAGCTTGAGAGGCCGCGCGGCCTGGAAAGTCACTGCCCGAAGAGGCAGTAGGCTGGTATGTCTCCAGGAAGAGCGAAGAGCTCTTTTTTCTTTTTTTTTCAAATAAAGCTGTCGTCTCCTCATATGCGGGGGATTCACTACACTATTTTCTTCTGTCAATATTTTCCCACCTCACCCTAGCTACCTGCACATCTCACATTATCCACCCACCTATCTAGCACAGCAACATTCCACATCTATCCACCCCCCTATCTAGCACGGCGCCCCCACTGTAGCCTTCCTGATGTGCTTGACAACCATAGCGTGGCCTCAATCGACCGTAGCGGGTACTCATGGAGGCCTCCGTGGCTGTCTCCATCCAAGCATTCTCGATGGTAGCAGTTAACATTCATTGCCAGTCACCTGGAGTGTCCCCTACGCGTATCACCCCCTC